TGTTTTGTTTTTTTGTTTTTGTACTTTTTTACCCCTAAAAGCAGCAAAAATTCTGACTGATCTGGACAAAAGAAACCGCCAACATCTTTATTGTTCCCATGAGTTGAGTCCACACTCCAAAAGCTCAGCAACATCTTTGCAACTAAAGCTTCTCCATTGTAATAACATTACTGTGTAAAGATTTAGTTCTAATTGGAGGTACTTCCGAATATGTACTGTCTGAGGCAGGTGCATCCAGCATTCATTTCCTATGCTTTTAGTGTGTTTATTGATAATGAAAAATACATAAACACCTGGCAAAATGCTGTGCAGCCCAACCTAAGAAGTTAGAACCTAGTCTCTAGGTCACAGGTGTCAAATGGTTCCAGAAAGGGCCGTGTGGCTGCAGGTTTTCTTTCCAACCAAACAATAGCACACCAGACTCCATTCATCCCAGCAAGTCATCATGTTCAGATTGGACTCCCTTGATGAGATGAATGAAGTCTGGTGTGCTATTGCTTGGTTGGAAAGAAAACCTGCAGCCACATGGCCCTTTCTGGAACCACTTTGACACCCCTGCTCTAGGTTAACACTTTTCTGACAAAGGGTGGCATTGACCTGCCTTTGACGTCACATGTATAAAAACTATACAAATGTTGTTCAGGGCACATCTGATGGATAGTCATAACCCAGTTTTTGATGCTAACTTGAGCAGCTACCCAAATGCCCCTAATCAAAAACCAATACATGTTCTAAGAGTTTTGCCACGATGTTACATAACATTGACATTTTAATTTTTTTCAGTGTATTTTGTTTGTTTTTTTGTTTGTTTTTTGCAATTCAAACTAAGTTTTTTAAGGCGATTAAAAAATGTTTGACCCATATTTTGACACATATTTTTACATATAATGGAATTGTGTTGTAATATTCCCAAATGCGTTTTATCCCACAAAGGTATATGCCTTAGATGCTCTGTCATCAAACTGACTGATACTAAGTTATTCCAGAGTCGGTCCAATTACTTTGGCCTTATCAATTTCTTTTGATGATATGTGCTGACATAAAATAGCACTGATTAGTTATTTGGACCAATTCAATTTCTTACCTTCAAAGTTTTACTTAAACTATTTGAAAATAGAGATGGGTAAAGTTTAACTTCAACCAAGAATAACGTTTTTATCTGCTACATCAGGGTCCAAAACCTGCAGCTCCAAAGCTGGAAGGGGCTCTTTGGTTAACTTAATATATTGAGCGATTAAATATTTTTGCCTTGTTTTTTTTTCTTTGTTTATTTCTGTATTTTGCTCTGTGTACCATGAAAAAAAAAACTGTGGCCCCATCCTGTTCCTCATTGTAAATTAGATCTAAAACCTACATAATGTACACTCTGTAGGTGGATAACTATTTCTACCTAAAAATTAAAAACACTAACCTGTCACAAATAACTTAATTAATGGTAGCGAACCCAAAGGCAATACTTGAACAAATAAGTATTTCTTTAAATATTAAGTTGTTGCTTCTGGCATTTCAGAAAGTAATTTCTAAACTGGTTTCATTATGCTCAATATAAGTAAAGTTTATTTGAAGACGGTGAAATTTATTTTCTAAGCTGTGTTCTAGTTTTAATCTAATGCAAAGTATCTGGGCTTCTTTTGCTTTTTCAGATCCCTTTAAATCTTTTTGGCTTAATTAAAGTCTTGGCATCATTCTGTCTCAGTATTTCAATACTGTCACAAAAAAAGTTGCTTCTGGCATTTCAGAAAGTAATTTCTAAACTGGTTTCATTATGCTCAATATAAGTAAAGTTTATTTGAAGACGGTGAAATTTATTTTCTAAGCTGTGTTCTAGTTTTAATCTAATGCAAAGTATCTGGGCTTCTTTTGCTTTTTCAGATCCCTTTAAATCTTTTTGGCTTAATTAAAGTCTTGGCATCATTCTGTCTCAGTATTTCAATACTGTCACAAAAAAAGTTGCTTTACGTTGATGGTTTACTGGCACTGTTGTTTGTTTGTAATTAGGCTGAGGTCAGAGGTAAAATAAAGAACCTTATTGACAGCAATGAGCCTCCTCTTTTGAAGACTGAAGTGTGTCTACTCAAAGGCTAAATCCTATGAGTTAGGACAGCATTTCATTTCTCTTTCAAGTATTTCTACATTGAATCAATTGATTATTGCTTCATTCTCTAAAAAACCACTTCTGATGTGTACTTAGAATCACAGTCGTCAAGTTTCAACCATATGGCAATTCATTTTGAGTAAAGTTATAGAAAAGAGGTAGTTCTCCTCCTTTCATATAAACAGACCCTCAGAACGATGCTTCCATCAACAAGTTGACTACAGATAAAGTGTCTGTAGGTTTTTAAAGCCTCACATTGACTTCTCTTATCCAACTTCATTTAAATGTTGTTAAATATTTCTTTGTCACTTTATAATCAGAAAACTTTCCTAAAGAGACATCTGACTTGACCCATCCATGTTGGGAGGTTTGAGTAATTTTTGAAGCAGGAGCTTCTTTCTTCTCTAGTCAGCAAGGTTTTTAGTCCATATTGGTGTCAAAGTGGTTTTATTAAGGAAAGCCACACTGGTGTTAAAGCATAATCTGGTTTATGACTGTATCATTCAATCAAATGGTTGACAACTTGAAAAGGAAACGTGGCAGAACCTTGATCATGGCTGTAAAAAACAACAACAATTTATCCAAATAATGAGGATCTTAGAGTCTGAAAAAAAAATCAACAAGTAATTTGATCAAACCTGCACACTGTTCTAGTGTTTAAAAGAAAGATTGAGATAAATCTAAAAAATCCTTGATGATATATAAACCTCAAACTTGATCAAATACCATTGCTTGTCCCTTTAGAAAAAAAGCTACTGTTTCTATAAAAGTTTTGCACAATCTGAATCAAATCAAAGGTACCTTAAATTAATCTGAAGATACAAGAGCGATGTCTCTTTAACAGTTGCATTCATGAAATGTGCTTCGACACACATTGTATCTTTGCTTTGCTGAACAAAAACTCTGCACCAAATGAAACAAGGTAACTCTGCTCATTGACTGAGCACTTCAGGAATGGGTTGCTAAAAAAAATTTTCAACATTTTCAAAACTGCAATTGTTCTTATGATTAATTTGTTTTGACGGAAGACATAAAAAGTTGCTTTGAGCTACAATCAATTAGCATCCAGACCATTACAAATCCCAACCAAACCTCTTCTAACTCGAATTCTAAACAAACTTTTTGTTTTTTGAAAACATATGCTTGCAATAAAAGGACTAATCTTTTAGTTTAAACATTGTTTTTTTAATCAAATTAACTTGTCTTAGGTCCATGTACATCAGTATCCCAGATCTGAACTATATTTCCCTCCTAAGTTTGTGAGAGAAAAAAAAACTCTCACCCACTCTATCATATTCAAGCAACACCAGAGACACAGCTTTAGTTGTGTAGTCTGGCTAGGTCTCTTTAGAAATATTGGAACATACCAGAGATGGTTGTTACTTGTAGAACATGATGTGCTTGCTGGAAATTCTTACTGTTCCATCAATGCTGCCACTTGGCACCTTCCCTGGCCAAAATTCTTGCATTTTTTATTTATTTTGGAAAAATGTCCTATATTTATTCAAAGATTAATGATGACTCCCTTCACTTTACCAAAGCATGTCAGATTAGATAAATAATAATATTTTTCCACTGGCATATTTAGATTTAAAAGTATTTTCTAAACAAAGAAATTTAGAGGTTTTGATGAAAAAGGGAGAAAGGCACCTTTTAAAAGACAATAAAGCATAAAAAGCAACAACTAACAAAAAACCCACATCAGCAATTCATTTTTATTAAAAAAATGTTAGATTGGAATGTACTATATGCTTCTCAATGAAATGCTTTGTTTTAGTCATTAAGGAAATCAATCCCTTTTAGATCAGTATTACATTGGTATTATGTCAAGTCAATAAAGACAGGGCTGGTAAAATAAGGGGATTGTCTTAAACCTTAATCTGCTAGGAATACAAATAATTTGAGGCAACTATTTCTTTTTGATTGATACCCGATACAATGAAACTAATAAGCAAATCCCACCAGGGCAGCTGAACTTTATTTCTTCTTAATCGAATTCCCTCCAATTTATCGCAGCGGAGAGCTTCAGAACACTGAATGCTGAAATTAGATCAAAGGTTGCTTTAACAAAGTTTAATGGTGTCTGCACTTATGTAACCAGGCTATTGCAGCTTCTATATGCTGCTCTTCATAGATAAATTCTGTTTTAGAGTGGAAATATACTTGATAAAAGTTAGATTAAAGGAATAATCTAGTCTAAAGTTTTTAAATGACAAAAAACATGAAGTTTGGAGTAATAGAATCTGAAACGTTAAAGGACATAACATGATGATAATGTCACGCTGCAGACAGCTCTAGATTTGTATATAGATGCATATGTGTCAGAAGGACTTAGACTTCCAAACGCTTTAGGTATTAAAGCATTAAAGCTTGGTGTGAAACTAAAAATAGCCTAGGAACCAATTTGCTGAGGACAGCGTGATTGTCTACACGTGACAGGCTACCGGCAACACGCCGCTGTCCCTGGTGCTGAAACTGCATCCGGTCCGTTATGTGGAGGTTTTCATCCTATATTTTAAAGAAAATGCAACAGAGAGGCACCTGAGTTTGAACCCTGGAGATATCGAGGTTAAATAAAACTGGCTCAACTGGTTAAATAATTATGCAGACTGCTGTAGAACTCATAAAACTGTAATTCCACCCAAGCAACAGTGCGAGGCGCATGCAGGGCTAATTCAGTTTACAGAATAGGAGAGAGAAAGAGAGTTTGATTGATCATGTGGGCTATGGAAGCCTGCGATAGTTGTGGCAAAATGCTGCATATACGCCCCTTTGGCACCGATCTGGTGACCAGTGACTCTAAGCCCTGCTGAGGCCACGCAGTCAGCCTGCACCGGGTGTATACCTGTTAACACACTGCCCATTCTTCCGGGTTCTGGACCTCATTGAGGCAACATGAACTTACCGCAGTCCTCACACAAGATCCTCCCAACATCCTTCTTTAGGTTCTTCCCACTCGTGTCAAGGGGCGCGAACGATGCCTTGAAAACCAAGGGCTCGTCCGTGGGGTCCATGAAAAAAATGTACTTGTGGTTCTTCTTTACTTTGGCGCACTGCGCCTCAGATCCGAACTCCCCCACAGTGACTAGCTGCTCTCGCACCAGACCGCCGCTGTTCAGGGGCCAGACCTCCAGCACTTTGACACTCACACGGTACGGATCCGCGGACGTGTTCCCCGCAGGCGTGGACTGCACCTTACCCTCGATCACCACAGCGGACCTGTAAGCCTGGTCCTGTAGGGAATTCAGACTCGGGGAGTAGCAGGCGAATGAGACCCCGATGAGCAGCATGGATAGATGCACCGGATCAAGCCTCATGCCGCCTGCTTTGGCTCGGTGGGGGCTGGTCGCGTTGCGGCAGGGCACTCTGGGCTGCAGGGCGATGGCGGTGGACCTGGGTTGAAGGAAGAGAAAGCGAGTAGGCTCCAGCAGTAGCACGGCAGCGCGGCGGACCTTGCATAAGTGTCCATGCCATCGGGATCCGCTGCTTTTTCCCCCAAATGCTTTTCAGCGGGTAAACAGCAGCTTTTGCAACGGGGATGACGCTGGCTTTTAAATCCAGTCACTGCTTCCCGCTAATAATAAGGCATTGTAAATGTTTTTTTGTTTTGTTTTTTTAAAGGAAGGAATCGTGGACCTCCTCCCCTTCGTCTCTATTCTGCCATAAGACGACGCAAATTTATCTTTGCCCCCAAAAATTGCAGTGGAAAGGTGCCGCTGTTATGGTTCTCCCTATCATCTGCATCGGAGGGAAGAGACGTAAAATGCTGCAGTGAAGCACAAGTTGGAGGAGCCTGATCGCAAAACCAAAAGACCCGTTTCATTCCAGGGAAAAGAGAATATAGTGATGAGAAAGCAGATATAAAAAAAATATAATAAATGAAAGGAATTATTTCTGCACGCTGCAGCGTTAATACGCCGCCCTCCACCGCGGCTCTCTCTCCGCCTCCCCTACCAGCCGCTGACGGAGAGAAAATAAGACCGATCGCCGAGGGGCTCCAAAAGAAATAATAATGATTTTTAAAAAAGGGTCTCTCTCCCCCCTTTTAATACAGCGCGTCAGTCACTCCATGGTGTTTCATCGGCGGGGATCTCTTGCTGTAATTAAACAAATGAAAATCGTAAATCCATGTCTCTCCCTCTCTCCTTACGAACGCATCCTACTGTAGCCAAGGCATTTCACCACTTCCAAAATAAATAAATAAATGGATAAATTGAATAAAATAGGAGGGGAGGGAAAATAACAATGAAGCTGCATATGTAAGTCCAGGAAGTCGACCGATGACTAACGCTGCGAAAGCGTTTCGGAGTCTTCAGGAGACTTTTGCGTCTCATCCCATTAAGTCATGCCCTGCATTCAGGTCACATTCGCCGCTCTGCTTTAGAAAAAACAAAACAAACAAAAAAAAAAAACTCAGGTTGAGGATCCTGAATTTTATCCACACCATTAATTGAGCAAAACTACTAAAAGTCAACAGCTCAAAATAAATAAATAAGAACAGTGAAAGTTTTAGAAAAAAATAAAATAAAATACACCACATTGTATTAAAACTCTTTTTTCATATGTTGAATGCAGTTTATTGGGTGTGAAGTAACTTTTTTTTTTAACTAAACTATTTTAAAAGCAACATCACATATGATTTTATGTGTCGGCTATGTTTGATAGATTTTATTGATAAACTAACTCGGGGTTTGGAGGAAAAGGTTTGTGTGCGAAATACACTGCAGCTGCAGGATGTGTCAGTATTCACAAAGAGCGACATCTGCCGACCGCAGTGGTCATTCAAGAAAGAGGATCCACTCATGGAGGAGGTAGCTGATTTAGACTTCTTCTTAAAACAGAGGCGTAGCCAGAAAATCCTATTAGGGGTGGCCAGTCAATAAGCAATCCATTGAGAGGTGTCCGAAAGGCGCCAAAACCTCAGGGTCAACCTACGCTGTTCCAACAGAAACAAGCGCAACATCAGTGTTTTCTAATTAAAAACTACCTATGCATTCCTGCACCCTTTGCAAATAAGTAGGTGGATATATTTAAACATCTATGCTGTGTACATAAAAGGTATAGTGGACACAATTCTTTCAGGTTTGAGTTCTGGGGCGAACATACACTATATTGCCAAAAGTATTTGCTCACCTGCCTTGACTCACATATGAGCTTAAGTGACATCCCGTTCCTAATCCATAGGGTTCAATATGACGTCGGTCCACCCTTTGCAGCTACAACAGCTTCAACTCTTCTGGGAAGGCTGTCCACAAGGTTTAGGAGTGTGTTTATGGGAATTTTTGACCATTCTTCCAGAAGCGCATTTGTGAGGTCGCACACTGATGTTGGACGAGAAGGCCTGGCTCTCAGTCTCCGCTCTAATTCATCCCAAAGGTGTTCTATCGGGTTGAGGTCAGGACTCTGTGCAGGCCAGTCAAGTTCATCCACACCAGACTCTGTCATCCATGTCTTTATGGACCTTGCTTTGTGCACTGGTGCACAGTCATGTTGGAAGAGGAAGGGGCCAGCTCCAAACTGTTCCCACAAAGTTGGGAGCATGGAATTGTCCAAAATGTCTTGGTATGCTGAAGCATTCAGAGTTCCTTTCACTGGAACTAAGGGGCCAAGCCCAGCTCCTGAAAAACAACCCCACACCATAATCCCCCCTCCACCAAACTTTACACTTGGCACAATGCAGTCAGACAAGTACCGTTCTCCTGGCAACCGCCAAACCCAGACCCGTCCATCAGATTGCCAGATGGAGAAGCGCGATTCGTCACTCCAGAGAACGCGTCTCCACTGCTCTAGAGTCCAGTGGCGGCGTGCTTTACACCACCGCATCCGACGCTTTGCATTGCACTTGGTGATGTATGGCTTGGATGCAGCTGCTCGACCATGGAAACCCATTCCATGAAGCTCTCTGCGCACTGTTCTTGAGCTAATCTGAAGGCCACATGAAGTTTGGAGGTCTGTAGTGATTGACTCTGCAGAAAGTTGGCGACCTCTTCGCACTATGCGCGTCAGCATCCGCTGACCCCGCTCCGTCAGTTTACGTGGCCTACCACTTCGTGGCTGAGTTGCTGTCGTTCCCAAACACTTCCATTTTCTTATAATACAGCTGACAGTTGACTGTGGAATATTTAGGAGCGAGGAAATTTCACGACTGGATTTGTTGCACAGGTGGCATCCTATCACAGTTCCACGCTGGAATTCACTGAGCTCCTGAGAGCGACCCATTCTTTCACAAATGTTTGTAAAAACAGTCTGCATGCCTAGGTGCTTGAATTTATACACCTGTGGCCATGGAAGTGATTGGAACACCTGATTCCAATAATTTGGATGGGTGAGCAAATACTTTTGGCAATATAGTGTATTTTACATTGTCATTACCTACTTTTATCAATAATCATCTGCAAAAAAAAATATTTAAATCTACTAATATCCACATTAAATTAATATTTAAGTTATTATTAAAGTAGTTATTTATTTATTCACTGAAGACTCCTAGATGACTTGCAGAGGCACATAATTTTACCTTTACCCCAAATAATTCAAAATTTAGTTTTGAAAAGAGCAGGAATTCTGCATCTATCATCTTTAATGTTTGTTTATTGATGTGCACAATTAACCACAGTGTTTCTGTTGCATGCATTTGTTAATATATGAAAAATTTAAATGCTTAATATGTTTTTCTGCTGCCACCGTCTGTATTAGATGGAAAAAATGGTATGGGTGGCCAATGATTGGCTAATGGTGGCCATGGCTATCCCTGGCCCCCCATCTAGCTCCACTCCTGTCTTTAAAGAAATGAAATGGTCAAAAATTTTGATGGATTACACATGGATGTTAATTTAGGGCTAATATGTGTCTTATAATGGATCAAAGTTAATTCTGTTTCACAGAAAATTTGTATAGGTAATAAGAGTAAACAAAATAATTTCTCCTCAAAGAAATATTAAGTCATGGTCTAGATATCCATGGAGACTTGTCAGTTGTCCAATAGAGTCAAAAGGGTGAATCACATGTTCAGGCATGTTAAGTAAAAGATTAGAAGAAGGAAAAAGAGTGATAAAGAAAGGCATGCTAGCAGCTGAAAATTGCAGCATTGAAATGATTGTAAGGAAAAGTCCTGACATGGAGGATGTGGGGTAGGCTACTATTGCTGCATTTCTGAGTCAAAATCACTTAATTAAAAATAAGTTTGCTAAGGTGCTCTGGGAAATTCCTGCAGCTCCTTCAATGTCCCTGTCAGTCTCTTGCCATGACCAGTGTCACACTTGAGTTTTCCTCACTCTAATTTTGTATTCTAGGAGCCATGTCATTTGTTAATGTTAGTGTAGTATGTTCTTTCATGTCAGAAGTTGCTTCCCATTAGTAGCAGTTACACCATTTTACATGGGTGTCCAAACGATCGAAAAGTAGTGGAGTCAAAAATTTCCCAGAATGCACCTTGAAAAGTAGTGTGCCTCCACGGTCACTAGACGAGCAGATATATCTGTCATGATTTTATCCAAAGATCTGACCCACATGCAGAAAACCAAACAGAGAGACCAGGGGAAGGTTTAACAGTTTTATTATGAACTGGTAGAGAAGGGTCCAGTGCTGCTCTGAACACTGGCGAACCGGGACTGAAAAGTGAAGGGGAAGATCCTGCGATTAGTTCAGGCTCAGAGGGAAATTTGTGTTTCGATTTGTACAAGGGAATAAAGGCAACAGGACTCATGTTTCCAGAAAAAGTGTCTTTCTTTGAATTCAGTCAGTGTGGGTTGTTCCAGTAATAGACTTGCTCGTTGGAGGGTGGACAGGGTTTACCCAGGTTGAGGTGTTTCCTTGAGAAACAGAGGAGCTGACTGCCACTTAGATTTCCTATGGTACTTGAACGGTTTCTTGTGGAGATGAATCTCCTGCTGAGTGTGAAGCCCGAACAATCCTTGGGGAAAAGTAGATCCAAACCACCTGTTTGAATCCCCAACTCAGTTTGACGTTCAGACAATCCTTCCAGGGGGGAAAAGGTCCAAAACATCCAGTTTGCAGGATGACTTCCTGCCGAGAGGCAAAGAGAAAAAAGAACAAATTTTAAGACTCAGATGACAAAAACTCAGTTTGGCTAGATTACCCAAAACTGACAAACACTCTGGCGTCGAGGTAGTGGCAGTCAGCAGCTTAAGAGTCCTCTGGTAATGAGACAACCATCCGCAGGTGTGTGAGAAGGCCAACGAGAACCAGGCGCCACCTAGTGGTGGAGGGAAATCAAACAAAAACACAACCCACACCAACTGGATTCCTAACAATATCCCAGAATGCTTTGCAAGAACTCTTCTCGCAAAGCATCACTGAATTTGTTTTGTGGGCGGGAAGCAGGAACGAAAAGTAGCTATCATCTGTCCGAATGGTCAGTTAACTGAGATCTCTATAAAGTCCACTATATAGTCCCTTCTCTACATCGTGCTTAAGGGATTAGTGCAGAAGTTCAGACACAGCGGCTGAATCCCAAACCGCCCCTAACCTTTAACCCATCAAGTGTCACTCGCAATAAAGTCACACTCGCAGCTGTGGAAGGCACCTGGATTATACATGGGTGGTATAAACATGAATGTGATGGCCTCTTCACTCAAAAGGAAAGGCGAAGCAGTCGTTTCTATGGCAACGCAGTGATGCGCAACTGCGTGGCTGTAGCTCTGTGGTTCAGATTAACATGACTTTAAATATTTGCCATTTTTAGGAAAATGGCAAATATTTAATCACATCCAATTTAATCGCATCCAATAAAACTATTTCAAAGAGGACCTTCTATTTAGGAATTAATGAAATATTTTCTCTTTATCTTAACTTGTGATTTTCTGTTAGTGTGATGAAGATGCAGCAAAGCAGCTACAGTATACTTACATTTGAATGCACTTGTTTTCTCTGCCACTCGATCGCCGTTACAACCACTGCACTGATGCAGACTCAGTAATAAAGGGCTGAATGGTCCACTCGCCCTTCTCACTACGTGGTTTGGAAGGGCCCTTAATGTTACGGACCCTCTGAGGGAACGTGCAAATAGAGGGTTAATGCTTTGGGTTAGTGTTTAGGGGATGGTTTGGGATTCAGCCAGCCTGTAACTGATAAACACCTGAATCACCTGTGTGCAGGGCTCCGTTTCACGAAGCATGTTTAATGAAAACTCTTAAGTTCTCTTAACCTGAAATATGGGAAACTCTGAGTTTTCCATTTCACAAAGAGAGTTTAGTCAACCACTGTTTCATTCAACATGGTAACATTCTCCCCAGAGCTAACCTGGTCGGTAGCAGG